AATGGCTCTTTGCTCTACTTTTCTATTACACTTAACATTTGTCATTACTTTTGGTGCCAGAACAGTTTTCATGGATGGCAGGGCAATATCCTGAATTGGAAATTTTATATATGTGTATATATAAAAAATGGGAAATATAAATAGAAGAATAGAGGAAAATATGCTTGGGGGGAAAAACATTGACAATAAAATAGCTGCTTCTTTGAAAGTAGTATTAATAAAGGCTTCAAAACTCCAAAGTAATTTTCTGGTAAGAATTTCAAGTACTATATATCAGAAAGTATAAAACTGTTTCAAACAAACAAACAAAAAAGAATCCTTAAGCCCCCAAAATGGAAACGATGAAAATCTGCATCCCCAAAATATATCCAATAGTGCAAGACTTTTCCTCAAACATGGAAGACCTCATTCAAAGGGGAAAAAAGGACAGATTTTACTCATATTACCCAGTACATAAAAAACAAAATACATCCATCATTTGCTAGTTTACTAAATAGCAAACAGTTGCAAAATTCAGAACAAATTTGCTACTATGTCAAGTGCACATCTTGTTTGTTTTACAAAGATAGAATGGAGAAGTCTTCCATGCTAATGAGAAGCTTTATGTGGTCACACTTACTTACCTCACTTCCTGCCTGAAACATCAGAAACTGGTATTTACTGATTGCTCCAAGCATAAAGTTGGATAAGGTTTGCCATACTTGTGGTTTACTGGAACTTGCTATAAAGACAGATAATAATTCAGCAGCTACAAACTTTGCTCACAGAATTGTTTAAGGATTCATGTAAAAGTAAAAGATGTCATCCCAGACTTAAATTCAGGAGGCACTCGGGTGCTGACATCAGTTCAAGAATTGTGCAAAATGAATGACAGTTCCCTGCCCCTCAAATAGAAAATGCAAACACTTAAGAGCTGCTGCTCTTTTCTCTGAAAATTGCAGTATCCTCGCTTCAGGCTTACTTGCCATTTATGGAATCTGACTGCTATTAAAATGTCACTAAAAATGTACATCGAGCTGACTGACTTTTCCAAGTGCTGAAGTGATACATATCAATGCTGAAGTGATACGTTTCACGTCCACATTCTAGCCAAGAGAAAAGTCAACTAGACACTTACTCAAATAATTGACTTCCTCCTTCCCTCTCCCCACAAACACACAGGACTCCCTCCCTCCCATAGAGAACACAAAGTTGTTAACTGAAGAACAAGATAAATAATATGCTAGTCCATTTTACTGATTTTAAAGATACTGCAATTTTTATACATTTTGATGATTTTTCAACATTTTGCAGCTGTGTGGCTTTGCAGCACAGCAATTCATACACTACACTGTACAAAATTACCAGCAAGACTGGAATGATGTATTAATAGAAGGCACCATCATGCTTATTACATTACCAGAGAACAAAAATACAGTAAAGACAATTATCACTGTACACAGCTTAAAGAAAGGAAAAAGGGGAGGAGGAGGAGTGTGTTGAGCAGCCAGCCATCCCT